AATGACAAGGCAATTTGTAAAGATGATACTCTCTAGAATGATCTGGAGTTAGAGTCCTTCTTAGGGCCAGCAGTCAAATTTGTTTATCTTTATAACTCTCTGAATACTGTTTGTTCTTCGTCACACTCAAGAATTTGAACCAACTTGGCAAAAGAAACAACTGGTTAGAAGGTATACCACCATCCTTGAGTATAGACACAAAAGACTATTTAGATTCTTCTATGTGAATGGGGAAACATGGAATGAGTCAATGGTATGGATTATAATGGGTCTCTCTCTCTCTCTCTCTCTCTCTCTCTCTCTTTTTTAAATTTAGAGACAGGGTTGCTTAGGGCCTCGCTAAATTGCTGAGGTTGGTTTTGAACTTGTGATCCTCCTGCTTCAGCCTCTAGAGCTCCTACAATTATAGGCATGCACCACCTCGCCCAGCATCATGAGTCTCTAATTAGACTCCACTTCTGTGAGGTTAAAGCAAGTGGTACCGTCATCTGTTTTTCCAGTTTTGGTTTTGACAAGTCACCCATGATACACTTAAGAAACAGGAGAAACAGTGTATTTATATGTTGCTTAATAATCATAACCCAAAGAATAATAATTAGCAGATTCGTGTTAACTTTAAGGGAGACATCTACTTGATCTATTCTTGGTTTGGTCCTATAAAACATTTAAAATCAATAAATTGAAGAAAAAATATATTTATCCTCTTTCAGGTGACACAAAGCCTGGAAGGAGAATTGGTATGTAAGACTACATAATCCACTGAAACATATTTATGGAGTACCTTTCTAGCTAAAAAAGATTAATCAAGACAGTGTTCTTCCTCTTAGGGTTCTTATTTTGACTGGGGAGATTAAAATATGTAAAAATAATTATAGAAAAAAACCTAAAGTAACAACTACCTTAATGAATATAGAACCAGTGGTTGGACAGGTCAATGTGGTTCGCTTTATGTGGGTGGGTTCCGAATCTGGGATGATTTCATAGAAGCATACATCATAACATGTTAGATGAGTAAAATGTGGACATGTAATAATCAAGAGAAGGGAAAACTAGATTCAGTGATGGAAAAGCATAGAGTTGCTTACATGGGGAAAGATTTGTGGTTTCGTCTGATTGAACAATGGAATTCAGGACAGGGAGCACTAGGAAATAAAAAGTTGGGTAATAAGATTCTGGGATACAGATTGGCACAATAAACTAAAAACAATAAAATTAAATTTAACTTGGATGAACTTCCAGTTTTAGGATGGCAGTGTAAAGATATTGCTTCCCCCATTCTCCTTGATAATCAGCCCCAAACACTTAGAAACAGAACACAACCTCCAACTTGAATGATTAAGAGGTATATATGAACCAAATGTATAAAAAGTAAAAGCAGACAGAAGAATGATGACCTGGCATAGCAGATGAAGGCTGAGTCCATGTGCCTGCACAAGGAGACACTGTGAAGAAGTAGTACCTCCAGAACCCTGGAAATGTTTAGGGTATAAAAATACCCTGACCAAAGGCTGGAGGGAGGCAAAGAGCTTAAAACAGGAAAATCTGGCTAAAAACAGGAAAAGTCTAAGGCAGATAAAATTGAATCCCTACTCAGACTCAAGAATACTAGCCAAAAGGACAGAGTTTTCAAGTACCACTAGAGAGAGTTTGTTTTTAATAAAACTAAAATTTTCTTAAATGTTTTTAAATAAAAAATTTAATGGTATTTATACAGTTTAAAATATTTTTAAGCATGTTTTACTCAGATGACCTTTTTCTTTTGCATATGGTCTAGATCCATGTTACAACTCCAGAAAAATCTAAGAGCAGAGCCCAGGAACACGTATTTTAGAAGTTTCTCATTCTGAAAACCATATCAGGGAAGGTGTAAAGGGAATAGGACCAGAAGACAGTGTAATTTGAAGTATGATGGCCAACTAAGACCTCACTTAGAAGGTAATATTTGAATAAAGAATTGAAGGAAGGGCAAATAATGATGATATTTGGGGAAAAGTGTTTCCAGCAGAGAAAACAGCTGATACAAAGGCACCCAGATAGGAGAATGCCCATTTATTTATTCAAGGAACATTAAGGAGGCCAGGAAGGCTAGAACAGAGTGAGGATATGAAATCAGAAAGGTAAAGGATATGGAATATTATTCAACCATAAAAATGAAATTATGGCATTTGTTGGTAAATGGATAAAACTGGAGAATATGATACTAAGTGAAATAATACAATCCCCCCAAACCAAAGGCCGAATGTTTTCTCTGATATGTAGATGCCAACACACAATAAGCGGGGAGGGGTAAAGAATAGAAGTTCTTTGGATTAGACAAAGGGGAATGAAGGGAAGGGAAGAGGGATGGAAATAAGAAAGAGAGTAGAATAAATCAGATGTAATTTTCCTATGTTCGCATATGAATACATGACCAGTATAACTCCACATTGCATACAACCATAAGAATGGGAAGTTATATTCCACATAGGTATAATATGTCAAAATATACTCTCTACTGTCATGTATATCTAAAAAGAATTTTAAAAATTTAAAAAAGTAAGGTAAAGGGTAGCTAAATGGTAGGAAAACCTATCTCCTAGGCCTGTAAAAGACTTTGGCTTTTATTCCTAGTGGAATGATAAGCCATATGATTAGAAAAATGAGTTTTTACTTTTTTTGTTGATACACATTTTTTTCTTTACACATTTTTATTGGTGCATTATAGTTGGACATAATGATGGAATTTGTTGCTATATACTCATATGTACACAACATAACAATATAAATTTGACCAATTATCACTCCCCAGCACTTCTTTCCTACCTCCTCTCCACCTCTTGGACACTTTCCTCTGTTGATCTCCCTTTGATTTTCATGAGATTCCCCACCCATCCTACCTTTCTTTTCCTTTTTCCTCTCTAAGCTTCCTCTTGAGAGAAAACATATGACCCTTGACCTTCTGAGTCTGGCTTATTTCACTTAACATAATGGTTTCAAGTTTCATCCATTTCCCTGCAAATGACAATTTCATTCTTCTTTATGGATGAATAAAATTACATTGTGCATATTTACCACATTTTTTCTATTTATTCCTCTATTGATGGACATCTAGGCTAGTTCCATCAATTTGGGTATTATGAATTGTGCTATTATAAACATGGATATGCATATGTATCACTATAGTATGTGACTTTAATTCTTTAGGATAAATACCAAGGAATGGTATAGATGGGTCATGTGGTGGTTCATGCATAGTTTTTTAAGGAACCTCCATACCAATTTCCATAGTGGTTGCTCTAATTTAAAATCCCATCAAACAGTGCAAAAGTGTTCCTTTTTCTCCACATCATCTCCAGTAGAAAAAATGAGTGTACAAAGGGTCGTCTTATAAACACACACACACACACACACACACACACACTGGAAAGCAACAGAACTTGTTTAATAAATAACAAAAGTAAAAACTGCAAGTGGGTCTGAGAATCTTAACTAAGTAGGTCTACACAATACCTAACATAGTAACTTCAAGTTAAGTATTTGATAAATATCTGTAGAATAAATGAATAGTGATAATCCGCCCTTATCTGTGGGTCTATGAGACCCCCGGTGGATGCATTGTATATAAGCACTGCAATACTGCAACAAATTGATCTGATAACCAAGACACCCACAAATTCACCAACATGCAGATAGTACATACAGCTGAGCAAAGGGATGATTCACACTCAAGGTGGGATGGCATCAGAAAGGCATGAGATTGAAAAATTTAAATTGTTTCTAATATTTTCATATGGAGGTTGACTATGGTTAACTGAAACTGGAAAGTGAAACTGTAGAGAAGTGGGGACCTTCTGTATAACAGAAAACACAGCCTTTCTCAAAAGATTTCTGGTCATTCTTGTAGATACCAAATAGATATTTCCATTTCTAAGTTTAGACTGATTACTTTATGTTTTATGAGTCACTTTTGAAACTTTTTCTCTTTTGTTTGAGAGCCACACAGTTTTTAACAGTCTATCTTTTAAGCTTAGGTTTTCTTGGGTTCTAGCTTTAAAAATGTATTTATTATTCATAATCAAACTGACTCTGCTTTATTCTTACTAAGTAAAGAACTATGTATATTTTCATCCCCAAATCTATTTTGTTTTGAAATCTAGAGCCCAGGCTATTGACTGTCAATGAAAATTCTAAAAGCGACAAATCTACTTCTTCCACTACACAAAGTAAATGTACTTTCTTTACCCTCATTTTGGTTTCTAAATTAGCCAATATGCTCTTTTTGATTAAGAGAAGTATTTGCTTTTAAATTATTTTGGTGATAACTAATGCCATGGATGGCTTAACAAATCTGTATTTAGCCTTTGGTATTAGTACTTCTTTTGCTTGATAACAGAATGATATAAAAGCATTAATTTTAATAGTTAACAGAAAAATGACATTCCTTCAACCAGTGGCAGTAGGACTTTTCTACAGGCATAAAAAAAATTAACTTCGGCTACTACAGACAACTGCAAATATTTTTTCTATCATACCATGTTATTTTCTCTTAAAAATATATATAAGAATTATGAAGTCATATGTAAAAACATTACCTTACATGGCTAAAAGCCTTTCCTATAAACCAAATCACTGATAGATAAACATCAGAATAAAATACATTTAAACAATTATTTATGGTAGCATAAATTAAGCTAGTCATACGATTTACCAAATGAATAGTACTTCCTTTTCTTTCTGATACATCCAAGTTTTGCAGTGAAACTGCATAAAGCAGAACTAATTACATAAGTTTATATTTAAACTATGTTAATTTGTAGTGTAATCAGTTTCAATGAGAAAGATTTGATTTCTCGTTACTTTTTTTCAGGGTATTAATTAAAATAGGATAGAACTGAGAGACTAGAAAATATGGTCACTCAGTTTAGCAGTTTGCTCAGATTGAAAAAATAACAATGAAACCTCCAGGGTTAAGAATTTATAATGAGGCTGCTAGACAGAGAAGACAGACCAAATTAGCTTACCACTTGAACCATTTTGAGATATCTGGCATATCTTGGATCCTTGGCTACAGTTAAGATATTTTCTGATGATACTTCACTTTCCTGTGGTCCAGAGTCTTGTGTACTGTTCTGCTGTAGAGAGTATTTTGTGTAAATCTTTAGACAATTCACAAAAGGGGTCTATCATGTTACTTAAAAGGGATGTTTCTTTTTATAATTATAAGGCAATAAATATTAGAAAGAATATTCCTAAATTTAAATACCAATAATTTAATTATGGGATATATTTCTAAATATCTATAAACATTTAAATATGACTTCAGAGGAAGCTACATTTAATATCAACAATACAGTATTTCTTAAAATTAAAAAGTATATTCATGGCATTTAAAAATTTTTAATCCTCATTTACTTGTCCCCAGGGTGTTGACATAAAACATGAATTATAGGTGGATATATTATACTTTAGATGAAGCTAGTAAAACTATTTGATCTCTCAATTGTTCAACTCTAACAGTGAATTAATTTCCTAGGTAGCTATGATCTGTACTATTGAAACTCCTCATTTATTAAATTATCTTATTCTGAGGGTACGTGACTTCTAAATTTTTTAGAAAGCAATGCGTAGAGATTTTGTGGGAGAAAACTCAGCTTCTCAGACAAAATTATTTGGTTTTGTATATTTCAGTTCTAGATGGAAATACTATTATCAATGGCAACAATGTCCACAGAATGGATAAGATTAAATACTATTTACAATGAGAAACACTGGGGAATGGTCCTTTATACAGGATGCTTTTGTCCTACAGGCCGTGCTCACTTCGCAGGATATTAACTGAAGCTTGACCACAACAGACCCTCATCATCTCTAAGCACAGGGCTGACTACCTGTTTACTGTACTTGATTTTTTTCTTTCAAACTGAACACTTAAAGTAAGTTACTTTTGTGACTCTCACTGAGTATCAGCATATAAGTGTTGGGAGGAATTTCTTTAACAAATGAAATCATTTTTAAGTCTCTATTAATATACTAAAATGTAGATAAATCAATATTTTTAAATTTTCATAATCTTAAGAATTTGAATGTCAATTATGTCTTAAGGTTTTCCACAGATATTTCAAATATAAACTGAACCTGTCAAGAACTCTGAAGCAAATAAAAAAATCCAAACATCCTTTAGGTTTCTCCCATTATATTTAAAATATATTTAAAATATTACAAAAGTGAGTGTGGATATATATATATATATATATATATATACATATATATTCATTTGTAATACAAGTAAAAACAAAAAATCCAAAATGCTGTTAATTGAATAAAAAAAATTAAAAATAAGATTCAAGGTTTTTTTTTTTAATTTTATGGAAAACAAACTCATATAACAGCAGAATGGAGCAAAGGAGAAGTACATTTTGGCCAGTTTTCAACTCTCAGTTGTTAACTTTTGCTCAATAATCAAGTCCTCAACAAGGTTTAATTAAGTAATGTCTTACACATTTGCTACATGAATGATTTATTAAGTCCTCTATCCTGTCTCTCAACTATCCTTCATTTTATTCTTAAATTAATTCCAATCTGTATAACTGATGTCTATTGTGAACAATAAGAGCTGAACCATGAAATTAAAGTTGAAGAAAAATCATAATCCAATCCTTGGGTCTTTGACTCATATATAGATTACAGATGGTGATAAACGGATTATTTTTAAGTGCATAATTATCCTTTATCTGATAACTGAGTTGACTATAATATCAATGGAAAGTGTATAAAGCAAAATTTAAGACCATTTCAAAATATTTCACATAAAATATATCAATTAATAACAATGAAGAAGAAAAAAGAAGTTGATTTTAATATTAAGAACATGCTGAACAGTCAAGTGCAGTGGCACATGCCTGTAACCCCAACAACTTGGGAGGATCACAAGTTCAAGGCCAGCCTGGGAAACTTAGTCAAACCCTGCCCTAAAGTAAAATTTAAAATGGGTTGGAGATGTAGCTTAGTGGTAGAGAACTTGCCATGTGTGAGGCCCTGGGTTCATCCTTAGTACAGGAGAAAATCGTGCTGAACACAAAACTTCGTAATTTTTTAAATCCAGGAAGCCAACAGAAGTTTGTAAATCCTCTAAAATAATTATCATACAATTTTAGAATAAAATTGTCAGAGAGATAACAGGTGATTACTGAAATGCAGCTGTGATTGTTGATAATGATTTAGAACCTTAAATAGGCAAGGACCGGCAGCTCAGTGGTAGACCGCTTGCCTAGCATGTGTGAGGCACTGGGTTTGATTCTCAGCACCACATATAAATAAATAAAAATAAAGTTCTATCAACAACTAAAAAAATTTTTTTAAATAGACAAGGACCTACACACAACTGTATAAAAGTTCTAAAATACATATTACAGATTGCATTCATAATAGCACCTGGAAAATTAATATTCAAAGATAGACAGATACCATTTAAAAATATCAAATAAACATATAACAACTCTAACCACCAAAGAGTGACTATTGGGTAAATTGGAAATACTTTATTCATATTCTTTATAGATGCCTTCCTTTAGGAAAAAAAAGTGGCCTACATTTAATTGAGAAAACTTACAAAGTTAAACTTCTGTACAACAGTTGGATCTCCTCTTAAATGTTATATTTATATTCCAGTGCACATAATGAAACTTATTATATTAATTAAATGAAGGCTAAATTTACTAGTATCTAATTGTTAAGTAAATGATCATCTAATCCATTTCCCTAGCACACAGCCTATCTAAATATAATGGCTCATCTCACAGGGCCTTGTAGCACACATTAATGTGTTCAATGGATTAAACACAGTACTAGTATAGTACAGTGTAGCAGGTAAGAGCTAGGACTCTTGGCACCAGACTTCCTGAGTAAAAATTCTAGCTCTTACATAATCATTTGCCCTAAGTACTCAAACTTTGTGTAATCCTGTAAAGTAGGACTGTCCTTCAGTATTTGTGAGAAACTGGTCCCAGGATGACTGATGATAATAAAATACATGAATGTTCCAGTTCCTTATATAAAATGACATAGCATTTGCCTATAAACTATATACACACTCCAATATACTTTAACATATTAATTATAATATCTAATACAATGTAAATGTCATGTAAATAATTATTGTGATGTTGAGGGAATAATAACAAGAAAAAACTCCATACATGTTAGGTATAGATGTAATATTTAAAATACTTTCAATCTGTAGTTAGATACAAAACCCATGAGTACACAGGATTGATTGTATTTATATTTTATAGATCTTTTGTGAGGCCTGAGTTAATTTTGAAAAGCACTTAAGCATGCTTGGATATACAATAAGCACCCTTTATTAGCTATTAACATTATTATCAACACCATCATGATCTAAACAATACCCTGTGAAAAGTACCTCTCAAAATTTAAGAGCTACAAATCACCTAAGAGTCTTGTTAAAAAGTAAGGTTTTGACAGGGGATAGTGGCTCACATCTGTAATCTCAGCAACCTAGAAGGCTGAGGCAGGAGGTTGGGAAGTTTGAGGCCAGCCTTAGCAACTTAGCAAGATCCTGTCTCAAAAAAAAAAAAAAAAAAAAAAAAAAGACTGGGCATATAGCTCAGTGGTTAAGTGCTCCCCAGAACAAACAAACAAATGAAAAAAGTAGATTGATTCATTAGTTAGGTGGCAGAAGATGAATGCCAGGAATTATTGTTAATTGTATTTTGTATGATAAAGTAGAACACAGGAAATAAGAAAAATGTTATGTAAAGAAAATTTTGTCAAAATTTGCTGGGCATAGTGGTGCATGCCTGTAATCCCAGTGACTCGGGAGGCTGAGGCTGAAGATTATGAGTTCAAAGCCAGCTTCAGCAATTTAGTGAGGCCCTAAGTAACTAAGTGAGGCCCTGAATCAAAAATAAAATATATTAAAAAAAAAAAAAAAAAGTAACTCGGAATGTGGCTCAGTGGTTAAGTGCCACTGGTACAAAAAAAAAAAAAAAAAGTAAAATTTTTCAGAGACGGTCAAGGAATCATAGAGGAGTAAAGGGACATGATGTGTGGGATTCATTTCAGCAAATAACAAAAAAATAAAAATAAAACAATTGTGATAAAATCTTAACTGGTGAATTTAGGGAATGAGCATTTGAGTATTCATTGTATTATTCCATTTCTGTTTAAAATTTTTATAATTTATAAAACACTTAAAAGTGCATTTCTTAAAAGAACTCAGGAACATTTCCATACTGAATTTGAAAAAAAAAATATATTCAAGGTTCTTCCTAGTTCTGTATTGACTGATTTTCTTTTTTACAGGCAAAGAAAATATTAACTTCAGGAAGTCCCTCAAAATAACACAGTAAACTCATTAATTTGTACAATTAACATGTGTTAATAATTATAATTTAAAAATAAAAAGAAGATATCCTAACCTAATAGAATAAAAAAGTATCCTATGTTAAAAAGAAACAACAAAAAAATTAACAGCTTACTTTTTTCCTCCTCAAACTTCATTTTCTATTTTATAATCTTACTATTAAAAGTTTAACATTCTTATTTAACTTTTCTCTTTCAACCTGCTACCTAGGCCTATCAGGTTCAACCAAGAAGATTTGCTCATACTTCTTGCCACTTAAATACTTACCTGTGACAACTCTGAAGTAGTTTCAGATTGTGATCCATTTGTGACACTGGACACACTGGACACAAATGTGACATCATCTAGGCCTGGGATAGATGACAACTTTGAAAAGCAAATTAGTGTTGGTACATAAGAATATTCTTAGGTGTATAAATAAACACTAAATTTTCAGGTGTGTTTTACTGAGAGTTGTTTAGTTTTAGGCTTATGTAAGTTTTATGAGCTCATAAAATCTCAACTCTAATTTTCCAGGTCATGAACTATAGTGAAAGACATTCAAAAATACAATACTTTTGAAGAATTTCCCAAATGTAATTTTGCTTATAACCATTTTTTTCTCAGAAATTATTTTAAAGTGTAGATATTCCTGGTATAAGGACTGAGAACATGGGTTTTGGAGTCAGACTGTCTGAATTTAAGTCCTAGGTCTACCACTCACAAGCTGTGTGCCTCAATTTTTCTTACCTATAAATTGGGAATAAAAATATTCACAGGGGCTGGGGTTGTAGCTAAGTGGAATAGTACTCGCCTTGAATGCGTGAGGTACTGGGTTTGATCCTCAGCAACATACATATATACATACATACATACATAAATAAATAAAATCGGTACCATGTCCATATGGCTACAACTAAAAAAAATTTTTCAAAGAAAATTTACAAAGTTGTAAAATTATTTTTATTTTAAATATTTGTTTAAAAAAGGTGTTCTATAGTATAATTTAAGCTTTATTTATCTGGGATATGAAAAACTCTTTACATCTTAATGTATGAAACAGCGAGTTTTCCTTTCTTTAAACACCTCTTTAATGTTAAGCACAGTGGTGCATGCCTGGAGGACTGAGGCAGGAGGACCCAGCTACTTGGGAGGCTGAGGCAGGAGGACCCCTTTATCCCAGAAATTCAAGGTCAGCCTGGGCAATACAGCAATACGATATCACCAAAAAAAAAAAAATTCTTTAAATGTTACTAAAATGCATTGTTTCTGATACACAAAACATGGGTATGATTAACCATTCATTAATGGTTCATAATGAATACCATTTTCTTGCAATTATAACAAATGTTTTAAAAAGCACAATAGCATTGCAACCTAGAATGGTTAAGCATTTCAACCAGAAATAGTTAGGCACTATTTGCAAAATCTAGGTAAACCCTTTTCTGATTTTATACTGGTAATCAATGATTCATATTTGGCAGATGTATGTGTAACTTTGGATATTAATTCTATGGCCATGGAAATAAATAAGGTTAATTTGCCTAGATGGTAACATAACTTGTGACCTTGGACTCCAACTTTCTGAGAATACCCCAATAAACAAGATACATAGTCATAATAAAAAATAATGAAAATATCAATGGTAATAAGATCTCAAGCAGCAATACTCATTGAGAACTGTTGAGTGAAGGCAGTACTTAGTATGGTTGCTACAGCCAAAATAGTTTCAGGTGAGTATGGCTCTAGGAGAATATCCCAAGCATGTTCAGGACCAAGTCGCCTAAATTTCTAACCCAGAGAAATATTCTAAAAGAAACATAGTTACTGAAGTTCATAGAAGATGTAGAAAGTGCAAACTAGATAGTCTGATCCTTATTCTAAATACGTCATTATTTATTCTTTCTCAGAAATATTTAATAAATATTTTAGATCAATTTTATAAAATTTAAATTAATTTTAACTAATCATAAAAACATAAAAATTGCACATTTTTATAGGATATTTTTTAAAAGAATTAAGTCACAAAAATCCACTGTTTTCTTTATAAACTGGAAAAATATATACATATGTTACAAATGAAACCAAATTATAACAACATATGCCACTGTTGATGATCTAAATCTTAAAACTTTCAATCAAAACAGTTTTTATTTTCCCCAGATAACTCTTGCAATTTCTGACATCAAATTGTTACTCTTTATTAGCATTTAAGATATTTGTTGACATTGTCTGTAAACTTTGCTCTGGAGACATCTAAAGTTTTATATAACTGTTATTGTACTATTATTAAATGATAACTATTAAAATAATTTTGAATTTTCCATCAAATGAAATGAACTACAAAACAGCTCAATTTGTTAACATGATATTTTCATTATGCTTTTGGCTAGTATAATGAAAGAAATCTGAATCCACGTGTACATTTGAAAAGACTCAGTTAATAGTTCATAATGAATAATGAACAACATTTCCTTGCAATTATAATAAATTTTTTAAAAAGCAAAACACTGCACCACTTCACAGATGTAGGAATTAAATTGAATTCCTCCCAAATGCAATTAAAGTATGACTGAGAAAACTGGTTTATGTACAGCAAAATTTATATTATAAATTATTCATAAATACAAACCTTTGCATCTAAAATGTTGAGAGTTGTTTCAATTTGTTGGATCCTAAGAGAAAGGTCTGCCAGTTTCTGGAAAAAAGAAATTAGAGACATAGAATATAATTTTTAATTAAAACTATATATAAGAAAAACAAAAGAGATATAAAATAATAGAAACCATGGCTTACATATTTGTCATTTTTCAATATACTACTATCTTATTTACATGAGTGGGAATGAAAACAAGTATTCTTATTTTTATTAGAATGCCTCATAATTATTTCGTAAAATCATATTCTTTTCAGCTTTATAAAACTAATTACCAAGCAATAAACAATCACTGAAACCAAAATATAAACTCAGCCTAGGACAGTGTCTTGTTCACTGCTGTACTCCAAGTTCCCAAAACACCTGAAACTCAACAGGAGCTTAATAAGTACATATTGATGAATGAAGGAATTCTTCATAGAAAATAAGAGAAAGGATAAAAATTCACCAAAGAACCTGGAACAAGATCTGCCTTCATAAATTATTGAAACGCAAAAGTATATACAATTTGTTCAAAATTCAGGCTTCTCAAGTTTGAAAAATAAAAGGGAATGAAACTAGAAGATAAATTATTTGTGGGGCTGGGGTTGCGGCTCAGCGGTAGAGCGCTCGCCTAGCACGTGCGACGCACTGGGTTTGATCCTCAGCACCACATAATAAATAAAGGCATTGTGTCCAACTACAACTAAAAAAAATATTTTAAAAAATTATTTGTTATTTAAAGAATTTAAGGAGAAAAAATTAGCACTTAAAAGAAAAAAGAAGCAATCTACCATCAAAATCCAAGATAAACCAGAACAAAGAGATTAACATGCTCTAATTACTCTGTACAGTTAACTTATCTATAGGGACATATATATGTACACAAATAACAGATCATAGAATACGATCCATAAACACATTTATTTAAAACTCCCAAATTCAGGGTTGGAGGTGAGACTTAGAGTGCATGGCCCTGATTTTAATCCCCAATACTACAAAAGAAAAAATAAAATCTCCAATCATAACATTATCATATTCAATCTACAATCTAAGAGCAGATGGCCAGTTTACTAGTTAGCAGATAGTTAGCACAGATACTTCCTGTGATAGTATCAAGCTTCGCACTAATAAGCAGAACTTGAACATCCTGAGAAATGATCATTTCATCTACAATTAGCAGACATAAAATACTGAAAGCAGCATGCAGAGTAGTTAATGGCTTTTTCACAGGACACTTGTATTGTTGTTTTCAGACAGGGTCTCAGTAATTTCCCAGATGACCTCAAATTCCTGGGTTCATGTGATCCTTCTGCCTGAGCTTGCCACGTAGCTGCGATTACAAAATAGCTGGGATTATAGGCATTTGCCAGATATTAGACTCTGTCCTCTGTAATTTAAAGCAGTTTTCTCATATTTTGCCTTTAGCAAGGTGAGATGTAGATTTGTCAATGTTCCACCCTAGATACCCTAGATGGTAAGGGTGAGAAATGCCTTGGTGGATGGTGGAATGACAACCTTGAAGAAACTGCTCTTGGATGATCTTATGAACAGTTGCTTTAATAAGTTAGACTAGCCAGAATGATATATGAGAGCAATACAAAGTTCTTATTTAACTTGTATTTTGTACTTTGTTCCAGTATCACATCCTTTCTCATACCTACTACAAAGTGCCTGTTCTACCAAACACTTATTTTTAAGATGAGCATCTTGATATCAACAAAGATATAATCTAGAAATAAAACATCAGAAACTAGTTTTAGTCTAGTTAATAATTTACAAATTCATTTGAGAGTTTCTGAGTATGTTAAGAATGATTGTCAAAAAAGATAGGCAACGTTAGGAAACATTATATATTTTTAGATAACACATTTAACATTTGGAACTCTCAAAAAAACAGCTCTAGAGAACATATGTAAAACCTTTAATATAAGATAAAAACACAAACTATCACAACAAAAATCTACCCAAAGGAAAAAAAAATTCTTTTGTTGATATGATTTTGAGAGTCATTAAACAAAGTTGTTTTAAATCTGGATGAGAAAAAGAGTTCTATTTCTATTTTTAATCTACCTTTAACTTAAATTTGTCATTTTCCTTTTAGTTTGAAAAAAAGTCTTAGTAGTAGGACCTACAACTCTGTCATCAGAGAAATCACAAATTTTTATTACAATATTTGCAAATTTATCATATTTTGAAATTAAGGTTATTAGACATGGTGATTATATAATTTAATGCTTTGATAAAGAGCCTACTACTATATTGTGTTTTCAACATATATAATTGGTTTCTTTTGTAATCCTTCACATTTTATCTATTTAAAAACATTGATTTGGCTTCAATAGATTGTCAAAGAGTCCATGGCACAATTAAAAATCTCTGCTTTCCAAAGAGAATTTAGCACATGATTTTGAGTCAATTCCAGTGTGATTACTGCTATAATATACATAAATACATACATTTTAGAGAGTCGCTGTCACTTGTGAAAATATAACTGGCTTCATTAATGGGTAGCTGTTTCATTAATGTTTGTGCCTTCTGCATTTCCCTTCTAAAGCCACAGACCACTTTAAAGCAGGTTTCTCAAACTTTGGTTTTATTGACATATTGGGATGGATATTTTTTTGTTGTGGAGGATCCCTCCCATGCACTATAGGATGTGTAGTAGAATCTCTGGTCTCTTATTCACTAAATGCCACTAGCACTTTTCCGTTATGATAATCAAAAATACTCTAGACAATCCCAAATGGTCCCTGTTTGAGAACCACTACCCTGAAGTAAGGATGACTATGGATAAAATGTAAGTAACATGATCAGGGACAATACGTATCTCCACTTCTGAAAGTTTTAGCAAGAAAAATGAAAAAGTAGCAGTCTTTCCCATCTATTTAACCATCATCTTATTTTTATGAGGATTTGAAACAAACTTGAAATACCTTGGTTTGGGATAACAGGAATTCACAAGGCACCTGAAATTTGTCAGATATGCTGAAAATGTCTTGATTTATTACTTGCATATTTCTAAGGTAGCACATTTATTAAAGGGAAAAAAGAAGACATGAGGAAGAAGTATGGAGCAACTAGATGAATATGGAAACAAAAATGAAACATTGACTTTTTTATTTTTATTTTTTGTAATTGTAAATGGGCAGAATACCTTTATTTTATTTGTTTATTTTTATGTAGTGTTGAGGATCGAACCCAGTGCCTCACGTATGCTAGGCAAGTGATCTACTACTGAGCCTCAGCCCTAGCCCTAAAACATTGACTTTTGTGATTATGAAATACCCAGCTTTTATATCCAATTTTCTAAAAGAGACACAGTATTTTAAAACAATAAATCTTTTGATATATCCCATTGAGTTTTATATAACAACCTAGAAGCCAGAAAGGGAAACAATAAATGGCTTTTATTAAGCTCCATCTGAAACTTAAATCAGGCAGTTATAACATAGGTAGCAGCAAATGAGATTCTATACAAAACATTATCTGGTTGAAAGTTAAGTCTAAGGAGGTTAAAAATTGGACGTAAGATAAGAACTGTAAATTTTTTTTAAGATAATGTGAGAACTCAGCACTTTTTCCTGTATTTAAAGATTTTAGAAAAAATAAATTTTTTAAATATTAAAAAATGATTTTAAATCCAGTATTCTAAGCATAATAAGTCTGAGTCAAAATAGCAGTTCTGAATCTCCTGTTTATGAAGTATCTTTGACTTTAAAACTCACTGTAAGATTGTCTCAGGTTTACCTGTAATAGAATGGAATTTGTACCAATGGCCCACCATTAGGATTTCACTGACCAGGTCAAGAACAGAAAAGCTTAGTGAGGATTTGTGAAGGAAGAAGAGATGACCCTAAGGAACTTTGAAATTTGGATCTAATTCAAATACTTTCCTTTCCTTGACCTCTAATCTCATCATACAGAAGAGTTACAGAATATCCTAGTATACAAAAAGTTTTCAAAAAGTTGTGTTCTTCACAGTTATATTCTATATTCTTCTCTTTATTAGAGAACTCTAAAACCAGTATAAATGATGAAAAAAGAGTCCCAGAAATTTGTTTCAAATTTCATTCCAGTTTGAGTTTAGCTATCATTGAAGTTGTTACAATTTGGGTTTGATTCAAATCAGATCATGTGGGAGAAAAACAAATTTCTTTTTTCATCTAATTCACTTCCAGTTTAAGACATATCAACTGAAGTTCATTTTTATTGTTGTTTTTGAGGGAAAAAGTCATTTGGGGTCTTAAAATTTTAACAAAAACAGACTACATGCCTAATGAGTGCTATGAATAAATTAAAAATTATTTCAAAACATCACAGTGACTTTAACTTCAAAGAATGGCACTTTACATTTGAATATATATATATATATATATATATATATATATATATATATATATATTTAGAATTTATCACATCAAAAAAGACATCAAACCAAATGGACATGGCATAGCAAAAAATGAATCTGAAAAATAGATTTCGAAATAGCTATTAAAATATGAAATCATGATTATGAAATAAAAATGATGCAAACATGATTGTTATTCAGATCAGAAAGTGCAACCCAAGACAAGAATGAGGCATTTCTGGCTTTTCCAGTTAGCAGATATGTTGGAAATCCAGTTCTGCTATTTTCTATCTGTGGCAAATTATTTTCTATCTATGGCAAATTAGAGCCACTGGTGCAGGTACAAATGTAAGGTACTTGGATATTTGCTGAATGATAAATGACTTAAGCAAACGATTTAAAACTCTTTACATCTTAGTTTCCATATCTGTAAAAGAGGTATGACTAAATTGCTCTCAAAGGGCCAGACAACACAGGTAAAGCACTTACTAAAATTCCTAGCACAGAGTAAACATGTGATAAATATTATTATCTCAAGCTGCTAAAATGTGAATTGTAAAGAATGAGTTATAATCAACCTCAGATTATCATACATAAAGAAGAAGAAGGTTAGAGACTAACAAGACAGTGGAATGGGACTTTGAAGCACTCATCCACCTGCAGAAACATCAATTTGATAAACTATTCCCATATGAACATACCTTTACAAGATAGGGAAGTCAGATAAGAGTATAGTACCTGAGTGTAAAAAGACACACAGAAGGTAGGAAGAACAGTTTTCGCATCACCATCTTTACCTTCTGCCCAGCCCTAGAAGTACAGCATGGAGAGGAATATTCTCCAATTAGAAGGAGGAGAGAAAAGTAAGCATTAGATTTTGCTTACATTTCTTTTTATTTTTTGACTACACACAGGGTCAACCTCAGTAAACGTGGCACTATGCAAGCCTCTATAGTTCCAAAGTCTTGGCCAGTACCCAAAGAATACCGGAAAAAGGAATTCTTGCACACTGTTGGTAGGAATATAAGTTAGTAAATTTTTTGGAAAACAATATGGATTTCTTAAAAACAGTGCTTCATATGACCCAGCCATTCCACTACTGGGTGTATATTCAAAGAATGTAAAATGAGTATATAGAAGAGATATCTGCACTTACAATGTTCACTGCAGCATTATTCACAATAGCCAAGTTACAGAATCAACCTAAGTATGCATTAACAGATGAATAAAGAAAATGCAATATTTAATGGAATGCTATTCAGACTTTAAAAAGGAAATACTGTCATTTGTTATAAGATAGATGAACCTAGAGGATATTATTTTAAAAAATAATAAGTCAGGCACAAAAAGGCATATATCACATGATCTCATTTGTATGTGGAAGACTAAAAAAAAGTTGAACTCAGACATTAAAATGGTGATTACCCGAGGCTGAGGGAACTGAGGTAGGAAGACTGGGAAGAAGTTGATCAAAGCATACAAAATTCTAGTTAGAAGTAATAAGTTCCACAGATCTACTATAGGTGATGACTTCAAGTAATAACATTACATTGTATCCTTGAAAATTGCTAAGAGAATAGCTTATAAGTGTTCTTATCACAAAAAAATTTAGTAGTATGGGAAGAAGTTCATTTATTAAATAGCTTGATGTAGCCATTCCACAACACATTAAAAATATGAAAACATCATGTTATACATCATAGAAATATTCAATTTATATTGTCAATTAAAATAAAGGATAAAAGGCCACAGACTACCCTTACACTTGTTTGTTCAACAAACTTTTCTCTTGAGTTCAAGGAATACTAAAAAATAGTGACACAGCTAAAATAGTGTGGGGAAGTTGAGGGAGGAACAACAAGAGGTTAAAGAGTGAATAGACAAAACAGTCCTAAAACGCATTTGGAAGAATAGAAGACCCAGAATGCCCAAAGCAATTCTAAGCCAAAAAAGCAATGCTAAAGGCATTGTAATACCTAACTTCAAATTATACTCCAGAGCTATAGCAACAAAGCATGGTACTGGCATGAAAACAGATCAATGGAACAGAACAGAAGACAAGACATAGAAACCCACACATCTACAAGTCACCTGATCCTTGACAAAAGTGTCAAAAACATACACTGGAGAAAAGACAGCCATTTAAAAAAATGGTATTGGGAAAACTGGTTAACCAGATGCAGAAGAATGAGACTAGACCTTTACCTCTTTCCTTGCACAAAAGTCAACTCAAAATGGATCAAAGACCTAGGAACTAGAGCAGAAACTATGCAACTCCTAAAAACAGGTAAGGTCAAGAAACTATGCAACTCTTAAAAACATATGGCTGCAGGCTATCAATTATCCTATCTCATTTTTGTCTTGGTGAAAATGCAGAGGAAATTTTGATAAATCGACAAAAATAACAGCTGTAATTCTATGCAAGTAAAAATGGTCTTGCTGTCTCATGCAATTTTTAGTTATAGTAACACACCTAACAAAAACTAATTGCTAAGGCTTTACCTTATATAAGACAGAATGTTCCAATGGCTCACCTGTGAATTACCTAAAAGTCCCATGATTCTTTTTCTTAAATTCAATTTCAACTATGTTTTTCATTTTCCTCCCCATTCTCTTTTTTTGACTATTGTATAAGACAGGAAGAGTCCCTGGATCTAGTACTTCTTTAACTTGGTATTTAACACTACTTCTTTTTTTTTTTTAATTTTTTATTTATTTTAGGTGTAGATGGACACAACACAATGTCTTTATTTTTATGTGGTGCTGAGGATCGAACCCGGGTCCTGCCCATGCTAGGCAGGCGCTCTACCGCTGAGCCACAATTCCAGCCCAACACTACTTCACAAGTCATTTGCAGAAGGTATTTTTATTTCCAAAATGATATTTGATGTCAACATTGTGTTTCTAGGCTATCTCACCCTAGCCACCTTTTATGTCAACAAATGTAAGATAATTTTAATACAAACTATGAATATTTTAAATTAGTATTTTAAAATGTCAATTTGGGGAGGAGAATGAATAATAAAATTCAAAATTAGAAAATGTTTTAACTGTGAAATTTTGGATTTTCTTTTATTCTCTTTAATCACAAGAAACTTGAGTTAACTCACAAAGGCCTCTAGAATACTCTCATTCAGCAGAGGTAGGGAGCAGAATTGGATGGTAAAGAGTCATAGAGAAGCTAAGGAGTGTAAACACCACCATGGATTGACATGAGCCATGTGAATACATAAAGACTATGATTCTTGTTTTACTCCATTTTTCAACCTAAAAATTCTAAGGTGATTTCTAGGCTATTTGAGAAATCAGTATCACAATACCTACCTCCTCACAAACTGTAGAAAAACGGTTGAGGAATTGCACAGTATGCACCACAAACTGATTTAGAAATGCCACCGTTCTTTTCTGTTGGATAGCTGGCACCTGTGTTTTGTAAAAACAAACATGATTCACACAAATGTACACCTTGCAATGTTTGGGGTATCTGGAAACCATAACGGGGCATTTTGCTGTGTGATATGAATTTCTTGGAGGACTGAGAATAATCGTTAACTTTTTTTCCAAAGCCATAGGTGGAATGTCAGAAAACGACAGAGGCTCTGTAGAAAAGTTTTAGAAGTGCCTCTAGATTCGAATGTTTGTAGGAACACACACACACACTGGAGGGCCCGCCGGAATAAAAAACATAAGAATCAGAGGTCACAACAGGTCTGTGTCTCCAGCGGATCAACCTTGGGCAGAGAGACACTTGACTCGGGATGAGAAGGCGGGAGAGGTGCGTTATCCTCTTAATTGGTTCAGGAAGGACCCCCTTTCAGGCTGAGCTTTGAGATTCTCTTCTTAGGTCAGCAGAAGACAGGGTCAGGGTGGGGCCTGTAGAGGTGGCCTCTCCCCGGTACCCGGGCGTCCCTTCCCCAACCTCCCCGCCGATGGCCGGAAGTTCAACTGCGTCTTTTACAAACCTTGGTCAGGTCTATGCCTGACCCCATGAGTGGAAGCCCATCTTCATCCATCTCCGCAGCGGGCGGGGGACCCAGAGCTCACCCACAAACCCCTCCCAGATGTACCCCGCCCAACCCGGTAACTACGCCGGGAGCCTCGCCGAGTCCCCGCCTCCCGGGCCTTTCTGTCGGAAGGAAACGCCTCTCCCACCAATCACTCTGCGGCTCCAGGAGAGCCCGCCCCTTCGCTCGGCATTCTGGGGTTTGTAGTTTGTGGTTTGCATTGTGACGTCAGCCTCGAGGAGAGCTGTGGAGGATCAGGAGCGCGGCTGCAATTGTAGTAGTAAGATCTTAAAAAACAGAGGTGGAGGCTAAGTAAAAGAAAAAAGAGGTCGGGAGTTGCATCCACTTAAGGTTTTCCCTGCCTAGTCTTGTCATATAATTAACTCTGTCATTCATTTAACATTTTAACATGTTCAAGCCTTACAGTTCACCTTGAAGGGGGGAGGGTCCCTCCACCCTCCACCGCTGATTAAGGAGATGACTGACATAGCTCTCCCAGCTTTCACATCCCTCCTCTTTTTTTTTTTTTTTTTTAACTGAAGGTCAGCTACTACTTAACATACTGCTTAACATTGTGGGAAATGCAAAAATTGGTCAGAGCGAGCTTGCTGCTCTGGAAACTTTTATGCTCTGAAGGAGGATATAAGACCTATATATCCTCTTTAAAATATGAAATAACAAAGTTATGCTAACGTTGAGGCACAAAGCTATGGAAGTGGCTGCTATCCAAAAGGCAGAACAGTGACCTGGAGAGATCTTTACACCTGGAATTTGGAGATCTTGGTTCAGATTTTAAATGTGTAGTTTACCAGCTTATGATCCAGGATAAGTGAACTGACCAAAAGTTGGAAACCTTCCTATATAGCAATCGAGATGCTGAGTACTGAAAAGATTGAGGATAATCTCTGCCTTCCAGAAATTTATAGTGTAGAGAATACATGCAGAATTTTGATTTGCACTATCTAGACAGACATGCAAACAAAACTGTAAAGATGATACAGGCATCCACATGGATGCAAAGTGCTATTGTACTATAGATAAGAAGCACTTCCAGGTGAGCTGAGGAAACCAGAGAAGGTAGACTTAAGCAGCTTCTTCTTCTTCTTTTTTTTTTTTTTTTTAAGAGAGAGAGACGGGGGGGGAGAGAGAGAGAATTTTAATATTTATTTTTTAGTTTTTGGTGGACACAACATCTTTGTTTGTATGTGGTGCTGAGGATCGAACCCAGGCCGCACGCATGCCAGGCAAGCATGCTACCGCTTGAGCCACATCCCCAGCCCTTAAGCTGGCTTCTTAATGATAAGGCGTGTTAAGCAGACAATTTGGGATGGATTTTTGTACAAAGGCACAGAGGCATGGAGTGTGGTATGGAGGACAAAGGGAAAGCTGGTAGTGTCCAAACAAAAGAGCTCAGAAATAGAGAATGGCAGGAAAATGAGGCAGGAGAAGTAGAGATTTAAAAAAAAAAAGTTCATTAAAGGCCTTTTTTGTCAGATTTTATACAATAACTTCATATTTCTCTAAATGTGATCCATGGGCCAACTACATCAGTTATTTGGGAGTGCTTCTTAAAATGCACATTCCTGAGACTGACCTCAGATAAACTGGATTAGGATCTCTGTTGGATAGGCCTAGAAATCCACATGTTAACCAACCCCAACCCCTGTGGTTATTCTGAACCCAAAAAGTTGAACGTTCTTTTTATAGGTGATGGGAGTCATTTAAAAATTTGTGAGCAGAGGAGTGACATGATACAGACTTGTTGAAAGGCTAGCAGTGCCTGGGACAGAGATGTGTAACAAATGGTGCAAACAGAAAAGTTGAGAGTCAAATTGTATGTGTAGAAATGGGAGGTTGAAGTGAGGAAGGATAGATTGAGGAATAGTTTTAAATACACCTCTCTTCATGTCTATGACTAGTTGAACTTCCTTGAATATTTCATTGTTGTCTTTCAACAAACACCTATTGGTCACCTTCCATTTTCTATGTATAGGCATACTTCAAACACATTGTGCGTATCCTTTCACATTGCTACATTAAAGCAAATATCACAATAAAGAATGTCAAACAATTTTTAGTGTATATAAAAGTTACATTTTTACTATCCTATAGTTTACATGTGCAATAGCATTATGTCCAAAAATGTACATCTTAATTTTAAAATACTTAATTGCTAAAATATGCTAAGTAACATCTGAATTTTCAGCAAGTCTTAATCCTTTTTGCTGGTGGATGTTCTTGTCTTGAGGTTGATGGCTACTGACTGATTAAGGTAATAGCTGCTAAAGATTAGAGTGACTGTGACAACTTAAAACAACAATGCAGGTTGACACATATTTTCACAAAACATTTCTCGGTAGCATGTTCGATAGCACTTTTCTCACAGTAGATCATCTTTCAAAATTGGTACCAGTCCTCTCAATCAGTGCTGCTGCTGTATCAACTGTTTTCATAATACTTAAAAAAAAATCTCAAGAAACCATTTTCTTTGGTTTTCCATGAGAAACAACTCTTCATCTGTTGATTTGATCAGAAGATTGAACAATTCAGTCTTGAGGCTACATTTCTAATTTTAGTTCTCTTGTTATTTCCACCATAGTAGTTACTTCGTCTGTTCAAGTCTTGAACCTTCTCAAAGTCATCCCTGTGGGTTGGAATCAATTTTCAAACTCTCCATCATTTTTTTCCCTCAGAATCAAACCCAGTGCTAGGCAAGCGCTCTCCACTGAGCCACAACCCTAGCCTTCCTTTAAAGCTTTGAAGCAAGGCAGTGACTTCTCCTCTTTAGCTATGAAGTCGTATGGCATCTTCTTCCCAGATAAGGCTGTCTTGTCTACACAGAAAATAAGGTGTGAGGGTGGCCACCTTCATCAATGACCTTAGATAGGTCTTCTGGCTAGCTTGCTTCAGCTTGCACTTTTATGTTATGGAGAAGGCTTCTTTCCTAAAACCCCACCAACCAACCTCTGCTAGCTCCAGACTTTGCTTATGCAGCTTCCTCAATTTGCTCAGCCTAGAATTGAAGAGAGTTAGTTCTCTGGAATAGGCTTTGGCTTAAGGGACTGTCATGGCGTGTTTGAACTTCTGTCCAGACATTAAACCTTTGTCCATATCAGCAGTAAGACTTCTTTTCTTTCTTATTATCCCTGTGTTCACTGGAGTAAATCTTTCAGTTTCCTTCAACAATCATTTCTTTGCGTTCAGAACTGGACTGTTTGATGCAAAAGGTCTAGCTTTTGTCCTTAATTTTCAACATGCTTCCTCACTGAGCTTAATCATTTCTAACTTTTGATTTAAAGAGACATGAGAATCTTCCTTTCACTTGAGCACCAGAGGTCATTGTAGGGCCATTGATTGGTTCAGTTTCAATGTTGTTGGGTCTTGGGGACTAGGAAGGCTTGAGGAGGGAGAGAGACAGAGGTGGTCAGTTGGTGGAGCAGTCAGAACACAAGCAATATTTATGGATTAAGTTTGCCATCTTATATTGGAGTGATTTGTGGTACCCCCAAACAATTATAATAGTGGCACCCCAAAACAGTCAAGTGGTGATGAGAGATCTTCATAGTAAAGTAATAATTAAGAGCTTTGAAGTATTCTGAGAATTATCAACATGTTGACATAAAGACACAGAAGTGACCATATGAAGCTGGAAAAAGGGTGCTGAGAGACTTGCTCTGTGTAGGGTTGCCACAAATCTTCAATTTGTTAAAAAAACCCCACAATATCTGCAAAGCTCAATAAAGCAAACACAATAAAATGAGGTATGCCTGAACTGTACTAGTGCCACAACTATAAATAAAATAAACATTGTGACAGTTCTAGGCAACTGTACTTATGTTTTGTTTTTTCCCCTTGATAAAGTCCATATGAGCTGGAATTTTTCCATTAGACTGTAAATTCCTTGGAGCAAGGATTATTCCTTTCTTGTGTCTCTTCAATTAGTAACAGTCACTCTGCTTTTCAGTGAAAAATCATTAATAATTTTAATGTGTAATTTTGAGGGCTTACTAGGGTCCAAGGCTGGTGCCTAGCATTGGAAAACCATCCTACTATCCATCCATCCATTCATTAAACATGCATTCCCTACTGTGTGCTAAACACTGTTCTATAAATCAGGGACATAGCAATGAACAGAACAGACAAAAATATACCCTTATGAAGGTAAATAGACAAACAAGTAAAAAAAAAAACATTAAATTGCTCACAGTACAAATTGAGAGATAGAAAAATAAAAAGCAATTAATAGTGTAAAGGCATGGCTGAATATGCCCTGAAGAGGAGCACCTAACAGATTAATGAAACTGGGGACAGTTTTTCTAGAGGAACTGATACCTGAGCTGAGTTTGAAAGCACAAAAATTAGAAAGGTAAAGAAGAATGGGGATATGCATTCCACAGTGTATGCAAAGGCACTGAGATTTGCACTTTCAGAGATTTAAACCTTCCAGGTAAGAATACCGCTGCCCTGGCCTATCCATCCTTTTGGGAGGAGTGAAGACAATACTTATTCTTGGCAAGAATCCTACCTTTTCCTCCTTCACTACCTCTCTTAAGACCATCATAGTTAGTTCTGGACTCTGGTGACATCACTCATTCTTCAGACCCAACCTTATATGGCTTTCTTCATCCATCATCTTATCCTTCCTCAACTTCCAGTCTCCTAATCTGACAAAAAGAAATTAGTCTCTAGTGAAATCCCCATTTCTTAACCTCTTCTTTGATCATTACTCTCTTCTAGCTCCCAACATGACTGTTCACACAGCTTCCTGTGCAGTCTGCAGTTCTTTTCTCATCCACTTAATCCTTGCATTATTTGGATAGGAGGTACATATTGCTCCTCATTGCTTCCAGACCATTACCCTTTCTTTTCCCTTAAAAGTGGCCCACAGTTCTGATTTCATGCTGTGAAATATAGATGATATCCTTGAAGCTATCCTCCCTGGTTTGCTGCTATGCGTTGCTTTTTGATTTTCTATAATTTTTCTGGTACCCTAGTGTCTCTCTCTCTTTTTTTTTTTTTTGAGAGAGAGAGAATTTTTTAATATATATTTTTTTATTTTTTGGCGGACACAACATCTTTGTTTGTATGTGGTGCTGAGGATTGAACCCAGGC